AAATGCTACTCAGGAGTTTGTCAAAAGAATCGATAAGGAATTGGTTGAAATTAATAGAGTCTTAGCTATAAAACATGATCGAATTGAGACTGAAAAAGATAAGAAAAAATTTAATAAAGCAGATATTTGTTGGATTTGTAAAGAAAAATTCGTTATAAATGAAGATAAAGTTAAAAGCTTAGAAAATAAGGTATCATGGCTTAATAAAAAGTTAGAAGATACCTCAGAGAATTCAGAAGATTATAAGACCTTAACAAAACAAATTGACAAAATAACTAAAGATATTAATCATACAAAATCTATGGATATAAAGGTTTGGGATCACTGTCATATTACAGGTAAGTTCCGAGGAGCCACTCACAATTCATGTAATCTTAAGCTTCAAATCGAACCTTGGAAGACCCCTATCCCAGTTGTCTTTCATAACTTCTGAGGCTATGATTCTCACTTGATATGTGAATCTGTTGAAAAATCAGTTAATGCACATCAAATTACAGTTATAGCTGAAATATTTGAGCAATACAAGTCTATGAAGGTAGGTCAGCTAAAATATATAGATAGTTTGCAATTTATGAATAATAGCTTAGCAAATCTTACAAAGAATTTAGGTACCAACCATCCTATTACAAGCCAATACTTTAAAGACTATTCTTCAGATCAAATTTCACTAGCAAGTCGTAAAGGAGTTTATCCTTATGAGTATTTCGATTCACAAGATAGGTTTAAAGAAACAGAACTTCCTCCTATTTATGAATTCTTTAGTACTCTTAAAGGTAAGATCTCACTAGAGGACTATCAACACGCCCAAAAAGTATAGAAAACTTTTGGTTGTAAAAATTTAGGTGAGTACCATGACCTCTATCTTAAAATCGATGTACTCATTCTTGCAGATATTTGGACCTAATTTCGAAAAACATGCATGCAATATTATAAGCTTGATCCTAGTCATTATGTTTCAGCACCAGCACTATCTTGGAATGCTATGCTTAAGAAAACAGGTGTTGAGATTGAGCTATTTACAGATATATCAATGCATGATTTTATAGAAGAGGATAAGTGTAGAGGAATATCTATAGCTTGTAAGCGTTATTTCAAAGCAAATAATTCAAAAATAGGCAAGGCATTTAATCTATCCAAGCCTACAACATGAATTTCATATATCAATGCAAATAATCTTTATGGTTGGGCTATGAGCCAGTATTTGTCTATTGGATATTATCAATGGGAAGGAAGATATGGGCATTTTAAAAACAATCCAATCTTCCAAAAAGAAATGCTTAATAAGATTCTTAATACTAAAGCAGATGCTAAAAGAGGATATTTTCTAAAGATTAATACATGTTTTCTTTTAAAAACTCATGAATATTTGAGTGATTTACCCCCAGCTGTAGAGAATATGGCTGTAGGTAAAGATATGTTAAGCCCCCATACTACAGAGCTTGTAGATAGAGCTTCAATACTATGTAAAATTAGGTATGATAGTAGATGAGGTAATAGAAATCTTATCATTTGATCAAACTAACTGGCTCGCACCCTATATAGCTTTTAATACAGAAAAGCATCAAGGGGCTAAGAATGCTTTTGAGAAAGATTTCTTTAAGCTTATGAACAATTCAGTTTATGGCAAGACTATGGAAAATGTTCGTAAGTATCAAGATGTCAAGCTCATGGCTATGAACAATGAGCAAGATGAAAAGAAGTTTATTAATAAAATCCGTAAACCCTCTTTTAAATATGCTAGACAACTTGGACCTTCACTTATAGGAGCACATATGGGAAAAGCTAGTATGACTCTTAATAAACCTATTATTGTTGGAGCATCAGTTCTAGGTCTTAGCAAGCTCTTAATGTATCGTTTCTGGTATGGTTATGTAAAAGAGAGATATGGTAATAAAGCCCAGCTTGGATATATGGACACAGACTCATTCATATTCCAAGTTGAAACTGAAGATATCTATAAAGATATGTCAGAGCGACCTGACCTTTTCGATCTTAATGATTCTAAAACTATAGGTCTTTTTAAAGATGAGACTCCTGGCAATGTGATTACAGAATCTTATCATATTCGAGCTAAGTCATACTACTATGTCTTAGCAGACAAGACCACAAAGTTTAAACATAAGGGGGTTAGCAAAAAGGATATAAATGAAATGGCTACGAACTTATATATGCCAACTTTAGAAGGGTCCTTGCTAGATGATCCAATAGATATATCATTATTATTAGAGGAAGAAGTCAAGGATTTGGCTATGCGAACTGAGGCTGATCCTATGACTCTAGTTTATCGAGACTGTCTCTTTGTTAATGAAGTATTCCACGCTAAAAATGTAGATATTCGATCAAAAGACCATATATTATCTTTGGTTAAATCAGAAAAGAAGGCTCTTTGCCCTATAGATACTAAGCGTTGGATATTATCTGATAAAATAACTAGTTTGCCATATGGTCATTGGCATATACAAGCATATAAAAATTTTGTATCAAATAGAATATCTCTAGAGTTAGCTGAACAAAGAGCTTTAAGCGTTAAGCTCTCAAAGAAGTATCAAAATGAATATGTATCCCATATATCATAATTCATGGAATAGTTCAAGTTGGTATTTGTTAGTATTTTAAATTGTTATACGTAACCCATAGGTCACAATGTCATATGACTACTGCGCTACATACTGCACCTTGTATAACATAATACATGACCTTGAGGTCACAGTCTTATAAAAAATATTAATACATATTGCGAAGCAATGACCCTTTGGGTCTAAAGTCGGTAACTGTTATCAAAATGGAATTGGTGTTCTGTTATAAAATTATTGATATTTTTTATCAAAATAGATAGGCAAGGCCTTATATATATCGATTTAAACATATTCTGTATTAAATAAATTTATTACTAAAATGTCAGATATTGAAGAGATTATTGATCTGTATGCAGAAATACCTAGTTTTC